CATCCAGTTCTACACCTTGTTATCTCAGATTCTCCAACATCTGCAGTTCCTACTATCTCCAAAAATCAATTTCAGCTTGAATAAGTTGGTTCAACGTTAAAAATTGACATCAAAAGGTAATCGCAAATTGAGAGTTATGGTAACAGGAAGCAGACAGAAAATGTGCCCTTACATATAGGTTTTAGATTTAAGGCCATAAGAAATAGGAGCAGGAATAGGCCATTCAGCCCCTCCAGCCTGCTCTACCATTCAAAAGGATCATGGTTGATCTGACATTCCTCATGGTCACTTTCCTACATACACTTTCCCCGTCACCTATGATTCTTTGACTGATCAAGAATCTGTCTCAGCAGAAATATACACAAGGACTCTATCCCCACAGCTCTCTGTGACAAGGAATTTCAAAGGCTCACAACCCTCTGAGAGAAGAAATTGCTCCTCATCTCAGTCTTGGCTCCCTTTATTCTGAGTCTATACCTTCTGGTCTTTTATCCTGTCATGAGGGGAAAGATCACCTCATCATTTACCCTGTCAAGCCCCTTAAGAATTCTATATATTTCAATGGGATCACCTCACATTCTTCTAAATTCAAATGAATAGAGTCTCAATAAAAACTGAAAGAACTGCGGATGCTGTAAATCAGGAACAAAAACAGAAGTTGCTGGAAAAGCTCAGCAGGTCTGGCAGCATCTCTGAAGGAAAAAACAGAGTTAACGTTTCGGGTCCGGTGACCCTTCCTCAGAACTGAGTAGAGTCTCAACCTGTTTAATCGCTGCTCATAAGACAGTCCCTCCAGACCAGGGATCATCTCAGTGAACATTTTCTGAGCTGCCTCCAATGAAATGATGCCTTCCCTTCAAAAGACCACTCACACACTCACACGCACTTACGTACATGCACACACACACAATACACACTACCACATACATGTAAGCAGAAGCAGATATGCAAGAACACAGCACATGCATAGAATACATTGTTGTTATGAAAAATCAAAGATGAATTCATTGACCTGGATCTCCCGCATCTCCTTTCTGTCCTTTCATTTTTTCCATCTCATTTTTGTCTATGACTCCAGGCTTTCCCACAAGACCAACTTCTCCTTTGGTCCCCTTCTCACCGTCCATCCCAGTGGGGCCCGGAAAACCAGGCAAACCTTTGTCACCTGACGAGAAAAAAACGTGGTGAGATACTCACTCTTCAAATTAGGACAGCTCACTCAAATCCTTCTGCCTCTGTCTTATAAGGTGCATCAAAGTCATGAGAAACAGAGAGATTTATTCGCTCACAAACAAGAACAGAAATTGCTGGGAAAGCTCAGCAGGTCTGACAGCATCTGTGGACAGAAATCAGAGTGAACGTTTCAAGTTAAGTCACCCTTCCTCAGAACTGATGGTAAAAGCTGGATTTTATGCAGAAGATAGGATGGGGGAAAGGGGTAAGGAGTAAATGATACGTGGAGATAGAGCCCAAACAGACAGAAGAACAGTTGGACAGACAAAGGAGCGGATAATGATCAACCTGGGAGAATGAATAGCTATTCGTGGATGATTAGGGGCTAATGATGGGTTGTGTGTAACAGCATACCATGTGATAACAGGGCCTGGTGTGTGGGGATTGGGATAAGGACATGGGAGATGGTGTTTCAAGCCCTAAAATTGTTGAACTTGATATTGAGTCCAGGAGGCTGTAGAGTTCCCAACAGGAAAATGAGGTGCTGATCTTCCAGCTCATGCTTAGCTGTGTTGGTGAACTGTAGCAACCCTCAGACAGAGATGCTGGCCAGATTTATTAGTTTCTATTCTGAGCTTTGTACTTACTCCTGGCCCTGTTGTTGGTGACTCATGAGTGTCTGATAAACACAGACAGTCTTCACCAAGCTGAAGAACTGAGTCTCAGCAAACAGTTTCCCTGACGAGAACAGAGGGAGGGAAATCTGGCTCGCACCAAAATCTGCAAAGTGGCCTCCTGGTCAGCACCATCCAACAGGGAAAATTACAGCTGATTTATTTTACCTTGACGTTAGAATCATAGAATCCCTACAGTGTGGGAACAGGCCTTTCAGCCCACACTGACCCTCAGAGAATCCCATCCAGACCCATCCCCCTAGTTTACACCTCCCTGAACACTGTGGGCAATTTCCCATGGCCAATCCACCTAACCTGCACATCTTTGGACTTTGAGAGGAAACCAGAGCACCCAGACACAGGGAGAATGTGCAAACTCCACACAGACAGTCACCCAAGGGTGGAGTCGAACCCAGGTCCCTGGTGCTGTGAGGTAGCAGTGCTAACCACTGAGCCACAGTGCCACCCAAGTAGAGCATGCACTTTGTCTCTGGATGGTGTCAAACCACCAACCATACAGTTAAGGGCCAGACGCGCTAGCCTATTGCGCCACAGAGACAGGCAATAGTTTAGCGAAACCTAATGATCACCTTCTATTCTAATCTGAGACCATCACATGGAGCTCAATCCCTGATTAAACATGGCAACTTTATGTAACACTGTATATTTCTGAGCACAGAAATACACATGGTCAAAAAGAGCATTTTGGCTAACTTCACAGTTCAAAAGATTCTTTGTGACACTCACCAAGAGCAGCAGACATATGGAGACACCACCCTCTGAGTCACACACCCTCCTAATTTGGAATTACATAGTCATCTCTTCACTGTCATTGGGTGAAGCTCCTAGAACAGCTGCGGCTGTCTCTATGGATTTCAGGGTTTCAAGAAGGTAGTTCAGTGAAAGATGATGAGCAATAACACCCATATCCTGAGAATGAGCTTTGAAAAACGAAGCAGGGACATGGTGAGGGTGGACATACATGAAGCATGACAAGGGGACAGCAAGGAGCTGAGAATGCTGGAGGGAACGTTAAGTGAGGCTGAGGTGGTATCATACAAAATGGTTTCATTCTGACATGGAGAATTCAATGCAGCTTTGCCAAACGGAGGATAGAGATTAAAGGATGGATGCACAGGTCTGCAGAAGGTTCGTCACAAGGAATGCCAATTTTGTTTTCAAAAACGTATGTGTCTATTATCATTGCAGAAAATATTACAACAGCATTCCTCTCCCTTGCCACCCCCATAAAGTTTCTGGGATGTCCCAATTTTGCAATAGATGCTATTTAAATGCAAGCTCTTTCTTTTATATTGAATAATCAACTATTTCCTGTGACACAAGCATGCATTGCCAAATGCAACCTCCCAAAATATCACAAGATATAATGTACTTCCAGTTGACATGATATCAATCAAAACAAGCTTGGAAAAGAATGTACGCACTGACCTTTCAGACCAGGAAATCCCACATTCCCTGGAGATCCAGATAAACCTTGGCTTCCAGGCGTACCCATGACCCCCATTTCTCCTTTGGGACCTATAATGGCATAAGTTGGAAAGAGTGTTAGAGCTTGGAATCAGAATGAAATTCAACACTGACGGTTATACAATAGGTGGTAGGCACACAATAGCTGGGTGTAAACTTAATGTCAGGACAAAATAGTCTAATTTCATACCAGTCCGGGAATGGAGTCTAGTCTGAACCCAGAATGGTATAGATTGAGACTTTTTTTTGTTTCAGAATCATCTCAGACTCACACCACTTGATTCAGCAACATTGTGAAGCTGAGCATCCATCATATCAGAAATAAATCTTGCAATGTTTCACTTTACTGGCTTGCGTTTCTTGGGTAGATGGCAGTCTAGTTATACTTACCCTGTTTCTATAACTCCTACTATCAATGATAACTAATGATAAATTACTGAAAATATCCAACTTGTCTGGTCTCAAAGGGAAGGGATTGATTTGTTGTTCATTCCTGAGCTTGTCTTTATGGAGTTCTTCTACCTCATAACTATCAGAACTCAACAGTTGTTAGAAGTTGCTGTTGGTTAATAACTCGACTGGAAATTTAATTAGAATTGGTAACTTTGGAAGGAAGAATAAAGAGGGGCAGCATGAACTAGATGGTACAAAATAGGCTGCAGCAACAATGACCCACAATTTACATGCACAGAACAGGTTGTGAAGGCTATTGAAAAGCATAGCATTTATAAATAATAGTATAGAGTATAAAATCAAGGAAGTTATGCTAAAAACTTTATAAAACAGTAGTTATGCTTCAAATGAAGTATTGTATCCAATTCTGGCCACCACTTTTGAAAGGTTATCAAAATCTTGGAGAGGGGGTAAGGGAATGGAACCAAGCATATAGGATCCCGACAGTGTGGAAACAGGGCCTTCGGCCCAACAATTCCACACTGACCCTCAGAGCATCCCACCCAGACCCATCCCTCGTAACCCACCTAATCATATGGAACCTCAGTTCCGTGAAAAGGCTGGAGAAGTGGGAATTGTTTTCCTTGGAGAGTGTTAAAAGTTGAGAAGTGATTTCCCAAGAGGAGTTCAAGATCAAGGGTTCAACCCTGTTCAATGGTTTTATAAGATAAATGGGGAGAAATTGTTTCTAATTAACCAGTTGATACAGGTTTTGTAAAATTGTTTAAAGAATCGGGATGGAAGATGAAGAAACTTTTTTCTAGGTAGTGAGTTGTTATGATCTGAAACATCTGCCTGGAAGTAGATTCAACAGCAACTTTCAAAGAGAAATTGGACAAATATTTGAAATATACATAAACTGGGTGGCTGGGTCTAATTAGATCACTCCTTTAAAGTTCCAGCACAGCAACGATGGATTGAATGGTTCTTTCTAGGATTTTGATTTTGGATTTCAAACTGCCTTTCCTAAGAGTTTTCCATAAGCAGGTCTGAGAATTTGTCCAAAGTAATAGTTCTGTAAATGATAGCTTACCTTGAAGTCCTGGAGGACCATCTTTTCCTGGGAACCCAATTTGCCCTGGAAGACCTGGTGGTCCAGAAAGACCTTTAGATCCTTGATTCCCCTTTGTACCCTGTGGCCCTGGGATGTCCAGACCTGGAAAACCAGGGTCACCCTTCACGCCTGGTAATCCCTGGAATCCTGCATTATAAAAAAGAATTGTCACGTATTTAAACACTTAATTGCTGATTGACATTCTGTGGCATTTGACACAAAGATAAATAAAGAATTTGTCACAGAGAAAATAGAACTTGCAGCCCAGTGTAGTATGCCAAAGCTAATTATTCACACATATTCCATCTCCCTATCCTTGCTCTATTACTTACTTTCCTTTTGGTAACTTTGTTGTTGCTCCTTTACAATTCTAATGTTGCTGTTTCTTTCTCTCATTCCTTCCCTTTGATTTCCCTCCTTACACGTCGCTCAGTAAGAGCACTTCTGCTTCTGAGTCAGAAATTCATGGTTCCACAAGACCCACAGCAGGGAAGTGATGTGCCTAGTGCAGGACTTAAGGGACTATGGCACTGCCCGAAGTGCCATTGTTTGGGCAAATCCCCCACTGGCCTCTCAGTTGGATGTAAGAAGAGTAGAAGTGTCCTAAGGCCAATATTCACTCATCAGCTAACATTTGTTTGCACACAGCAAGACCTGGACAATATTGGGGCGGCATGGTGGCTCAGTGTTAGCACTGCTGCCTCACAGAACCAGAGACCTGGGTTCAATTCCACTCTCGGACAACTGTTTGTGAGGAGTTTGCACATTTGTGGGTTTCCTCTGGGTGCTCCGGTTTCCTCCCACAGTCCAACAGTGTGCAGATTAGAGTGGATTGGCCATGCTAAATTGTCCACAGTGTGCAGGTTAGGTGGATTAGCCATAGGAAATGCAGGATTACAGGAATAGGGTGCAGGGTGGGTCTGGGTGGGACGGTCTTCACAGGGTTGATGTGGATTAGATGTGCCGAATGGTCTGTTTCCGCACTGCTGCGATTCTATATCCAAACTTGGGCTGATAAGTGGAAAATAATGTTTGTACTACACAACTGCCAATCAATGACCATCTCCCGGTAGGGAGAATCTAACAACTTCTTCTCAACATACAATAGCATCACTATTGCTGAATACCACTATGTGCATCATGGGCTTACCATTGACCAGAAACTGAATTGGTCCAGCCATATAAATACAGTGGCTACAAGTGCATCACAGAGGCTCGGAATACCGCAGTGAGTAACTAACACCTGACCCCCCAAAGCCTATCCACCATCTACAAGACTCGTCAGGAGTGTGATGGAATACACCCCACTTGTCTGGATGGGTGCAGCTCCAACAACACTCAAAGCCATCCAGAACAAAGCAGCCTGCTTGATTTCATCTCATCTACCACCTTCAACTACTTTTCCCTCCTGAACTCATGAACAGTGGCAGCCATGAGCACAATTTACAAAATACGTCTCAGTATGGCTCCTTCAGCAACACCATCAAAACTATGACCTCTGCCACCTGGCATGTGAAGGACAGCAGATACATGATGATCCTGCAAATTGCCCTCCTAGCCACACCGCACCCTGATTAGAAATATATGTCTGTAATGGTCAAAATCCTGTAATTATCTTCCTAACAGCATTGTGGATGTACCTACACAAGGACTGCTGCTGTTCAAGAAGGCAGCTCACCATTGCCATTCCAGGGCCATGAGTGATGGACAACAATTGCTGATCTAGCCCACATCCATGAATGATTTTTTTTAAAAAAGGAATCACTAAAAGCATGTTACCTGCTTGTTATTGTATTGTTGTTTGTGGGATCTTGCTGTATGTAAATTGCTTGCTGCATTTCCTACATTCCAACAGTGACTGCATTTTAAAAGCACTGCGTTGGCTATGAAGCCCTTTGCGCCATTCTGTGGTCATGAAACGTTCTGTTCAAAATGATTTCCCCCTTCGAGCAGGAAATGTTTGAGCGTACCTGGGAGGCCTGGTGGTCCCTGTGGCCCTGGTTTGCCTGGCTGACCTGAATGCCCAACTCCTGCTGGTCCAGGAGGTCCAGGAGGGCCCTGTGGTCCCATTGGACCTGTTCTGCCTAAAAAAACAACAGAGAACAAACGTGTATCCGTACCGTTTCAAGTTGTTAAAGCTCCGTGGTTAATCTTCAAACTGGCGACAGTGAAGCCCAAAATCTACCATCCTAATCATTAATCACAACGACAGAAACTCTGATCACCTCATTGCTCAGAAACATTGGGACACAGGTGGGATGTTTGGCCACTTGAACATTCAGATCATTCAGTTTCAAGAAAGCACTTGATGGCATTCAGGGGAGAGAAAGCTCTATGGGATTGCTCCATTTGTATGTTCCACAATATTAGTTATGTTCCATTTTGCTTGGCAATAGAGGCAGGGGCTTTTTGCAATGTTTGCAGTAGGTCACTCGAAACAGTTCAGGGGTCACTGAAGAGCCGCTCGAGGGTCAGAGCTATCAGGAATTGGAAGATAGATAGAGGCAGAGGCAAGATCAAGAGGGCTGTTAAACAGTGCTGCTGAGGAGGTGACCTGGAACCTCTGGCTCTGTACAACCCAAACTCAGATACAAGTCGGCAGATGCACAACTAACAGTAACATTTTGCATCCATGAGAAGTTAAGAGCAGTTGGATAGCTCTGTTCAATCAGAACTCATGATGTGGAAGTGCCTTTGTTGTACTGGGGTGGACAAAGTCAGAAGACAGGTGACACCAGGTTATAGCCCACCAGGTTTATTTGAAATCACAAGCTTTTGGAGCTCTCCTCCTTCATCAGGTGAAGTGGGTCCTGACAAAGGAGCAGCGCTCCAAAAGCTTGTGATTTCAAATAAACCTGTTGGACTATAACCTGGTGTCATATGACTTCTGACACAATCAGAACTCAAAAGAGGTCTAGGAGTCAGTAGGTACTGTTAATTTTAGAGTTAGGGCTCAGGAAAATTTGTGGAAGCTGTGGGAGTTTGGAAGAAACCATTAATAGCTCAGCTCAGCTGTGAGCAGGGGTGAAGGAGATTCACAAGCAGTTTTTGATTTGTGCATCTGTGCCAGATTAGAGCTCAGCCAACAAACCCAGGGCCATGGCTGGCTTGATGAAGCTCTGTGCCTGTGAATAAGTGCCAGAGTGCAGCTTTCTGTAACCAGGGGTGTGTTATTACAGGAAAGGGAGTGAAGACTGTTGAATGTGAGCAGCTGCTTTTGAGGGAGTTTCAAAGCTGTGTCATCAAAAGTGCAGAATTATAATCTGTTATGTTTTAGTGAGATTTGATGACGCATAGTATCATTAACATCTGTGGTGACTATTGAGAAACCAGTGGAGATGTCTTGATTGGAATTGTCGTTTAAGGTGTTGTGCAGAAAATGTAGTTGGCGAGACCTTGTCCTCTATTTGTACATTGCTAACTAACCAACTAATTAACTAGCTAATTAACTGAGAGTAATGGTTCCCTCCATTACAGCACTGACCGTAAATTATAACCTAAGGAGCCTCTTGACATCCATGAAGTGACTTTCGAAGTGATTTTGAAAAGAACTTGAGAAACAGAACCTAGTTTCCTTTAGAGCTCTCACTTTATAGGTACAACTGAAGTTCATTTCGTGCACCTTTCATTGGGCCTGTTGCTCACCTGTATCACCTGGGAGGCCAGGTAATCCGGGGTTTCCTGGTGGTCCTGGTATTCCAGGGATTCCTGGGTCACCTTTACCTCCTTGAACTCCATCTAGTCCTGGGGCACCTGGAAATCCCCGGGGGCCAGGCAGTCCCACACCTGGTTGTCCCTGAATTCGACAAACAATATGTTGGTTAAAACGGTAACCTCTTACAGCAGAGGAACCCATTTGGTCTTTCATGTGTACACTTTATCCTAAAAACTTTTCATCTCAAGTGAAACATTGAAGCACAGCAACGAGAAACAGAATTTGATTTGATTAGAGACAAAAAAACTGTGGATGCTGGAATCCAAGGTAGACAGACAGGAGGCTGGAAGAATACTGCATATGTGACAATAATAAATCAAATCAAGTCCTGGCAGCATCTGGAGGAAAGGAGCAGTCAACATTTCGGGTATTACCCTTCTTCAGGGCTCCAGTGTAGCAGTGAGAAAGGGACTCACTAAGTTCTCATCTGAGGGAGTTGGCAGTGAGGAAGGGACTCACACAAAGAAAGGACAGCTGTGCACTGGCCCAAAATCGAACCCAGGCTTCCTGGGAGGTGGGAGGCAAGAATTCTACCACTGAACTACCGCAGTCCTGAAGAAGGGTTATACCCAAAACATTGACTGCTCCTTTCCTCCAGATGCTGCCTGGATTTGATTTGATTTATTATTGGTCACATATACTGAAGTACAGTGAAAAGTTTTGTTTTGCATGCAGCACAGCAGATCATAACATACAAAGGCACAAAAATCATAGGCTGATTGAACAGAGCAAGGCACACAAAGTTACAGCTGCAAAAATGGTATACAAAAAACAAGGTCAACAGTAGATTCATAATTTGAGAGGTTCTTCAAGTATGCTCTACCATTCAAGATGATTGTGGTTCATCCTCTATCTTCACACCATGTTCTCTTCATAGTCTTTGATGTCTTTAATATTTAAACATTTATCAATCTTATTGTTGAATATACTCAGTGACCCAGCCTTCACAACCCTCTGGGGTAGTGAATTCCACAGGTTGACCACTCTCTGAGTGAAAAAATGTTTCTTCACCTTAGTCCTAAACAGCCTACCCTATATCCTGAGATTGTAAGGCATTGTTCCAGACTCCGCAATCAGGACAAACATCCTCCTTGCATCTAGTGTGTCCATCCCTGGCAGAATTTTATATATTTTAATTAGATCCCTCTGACCTCTCGTGAATACAGGCCCAGTTAAACCAATCACTCCTTATGGGACAGGCCTGCCATCCTCAGTATTAGTCATTTATCAATTGTTCATCAAATTCTCTTTTGGAAGTTGCTATTGAGTCTACCTCCACCTGCCCTTTGAGTCAGCACAGTCCAGGTCACAATGACTCAATGCAAAAGATTTCTCCTCACATTGCTTCTTGTTCTTTTGCCAATCACCATAAATCTGTGTCTCCCAGTTCCCAGTCACCCTGCCACTGAAAATGAAAGTGATAACATAACAATCATTAATGTTTAAGAGGGAGGTATTTCAGGTACAAGTCTGCTTCCCTAACTGTGGACCATGATTTCCACTGAGCTTGTAGAAACAGTAGCTGAGTTTGTGAGCATCCCCTCCTTTGACCCTAATCCCTGCATGAACGTCTTAGGTCGAGGGGACCTTCAGCCTTACCAGTGACCTGCTTCTCTCTTGGCCACTCTTCAAGCTATGGCTGAGGAGCGTGATAGACCTGGATGGTTGGCGAGTGAGGCCTCATAAATACATTGCATGAGCCACAAATCCTGAATAAGAAGCCACCAGTCCCATGTTGACAAGGGGTGGGCAACAGCTGTGGAACTTTTCCTATGGACTAGCTGCCATCTTTTTTTGGGGGACATGTGGTGCAGGGCTGTTGTGTGGCTGCCACCTTTATATGGGCAAATGCACTGTCCAATCCCTGTCTCTTCACATTGCTGTCTTCCTAACCTTGGCACCATCTTAGTAAATCGCCTCCACACTGTTTTAAAGATCTTGACATCCTTTCTGAAATCTGGTGGCCAATAAATTGGCCACTATTCAGGAGCTGGAGCTGAACCTAACGTTTTGTAATAATTTGACATAACTTCTGCTTTTGTTCTTTATTCAGTTAAGAATACCAATTTTTTAACCATCTTCTCAAGTTGTGCTCTATCTTCAAGGATTGGCATATGTGACCTCCTAGGTCTCTTGGTTCCTGTACCTACTTTATTAACGGCTTATTTGATTAACAATGTCTTTTCCCAGTCTTCCTACAAAAAATGATCACTATAAACATCCCGGTGTTAAACTTTATCTGACAAGTTCCTGCCCATTTCAACAGATTATTTATGATGTTTCAGAATCCATCGCTATCTACCCAGTATTTTCCACATATTCGAGCTTAGTGTCATCTACAAACTTGGGATTTCCGAATTCAGGTCGTTAATAAATATTGAGTAACACGGTGGCTCCCAGCGCCAAGGACATGGGTTCGATTCCATGCCTGGGCGACTGTCTGTGTGGAGTTTGTATGCCCTCCCTGTGTCTGGGTGGGTTTCGGCTGGTTTCCTCCCATTTGGAGTATTGTGTGCAGTTTTGGGCCCCATATCTCAGGAAGGATGTACGGGCCCTGGAGAGGGTTCAGAGGAGGCTCACGAGAATGGTCCCAGGAATGGAAAGCTTAACATATGAGGGACTATACTCATTGGAGTTTAGAAGGATGAGGGGGGCCTAACTGAAACTTTCAAAATACTCAATGGCCTGGAGAGAGTGGATGTTGGGAAGATGCTTCCATTGGTAGGAGAGACTAGGACCCGAGGGCACAGCCTTAGAGTAAAGGGAAGACCATTTAGAATGGAGATAAGGAGAAACTTCTTCAGCCAGAGAGTGGTGAAGCTATGGAATTCACTGCCACAGAAGGCTGTGGAGGCCAGGTCATTGAGTACATTTAAGACTGAGATAGATAGGTTCTTGATTATCAAGGGGGTCAAGGGTTACGGGGAGAAAGCAGGAGAATGGGGTTGAGGAACTTATCAGCCATGATTGAATGTCGGAGCAGACTTGATGGGCCAAATGGCCTAATTTCTGTTCCTATGTCTTATGGTCTTATAGTCCAAAGACATGAAGGTTACCTGGATTGGCCATGCTAAATTGCCCATAATATCAACGGATGTGCAGGCCAGGTGGATTAGCCATGGGAAATGCAGGATTACAGGGATAGGGTAGGGGGGTGTTGTGGGTCTGGGTGGGATGTAGTTAGGAGGGTCAGAGTGGACTCAATTGGTCTGCTTCCACTCTGTAGGGATTCTATAATTTGATGATTCTATAATCAAACAAAACCAGTACAGAGTCTAGGGTTTCATCACTGACCTTTGGTCCTGGGGGTCCTGGTTGGCCTGGGATGCCATCATTCCCTGGCTGTCCTGAAGTTCCAGGAAGACCTGGCTGTCCTTGAATTCCAGGTGCACCTGCCACAAAGAAAGGCTGGACATGAATGACTGACAACCTTTCTCAACTTCTTCAAGCTATTGATTCAGTGTTCAGTGAGTGAAGCAGTGTAGCTGGATCAGCAACCATTGTGGAAAATTCAGGTTCTTGCGACAGAAAAGATCATGGAGTTTCAGAGATGGAAAAAATTTGGATTCACTGAGATACTAGCTAGGGTGAGCAAATATGTCATGAAGAATGATCTACAAAGTTGAGTTTTTTGACAGGGATTACAACCCATTATGAACAAAGTTTTTAAAGTGATGAAAAGTTGCGAAAGGGTCAATAGAAGTTGACTGTTCCCAATTGTAGGATTCATGAATGAAGAGATATTGATAGAAGATTAAATATAAGATATTTTTAAGAGAGAGCAAGTGATGGGTCCTTTTGCAGTGAGAGTGGCGAGGTGTAGAATTCTCTCCCAGTTTTAGGAGTTGAGGCAGAAATGGAGTCAACATTTGAACTGGAGTATAGAGGTGCATGAAGGAATAGATGTATGGAGGGATGTGCGAACAGGATGAAAACATAATTAGCAATGTTTGCGAGATGGAGGGTAAACTCTGACTCAGACTGGATGGATCAAATAGTCAGTTACGCTTGTAACTGTTTTGTAAGCAATTTCTTTAGTAATGGCTGGAGGGAGGTTTTGCCAAAGCTTTTTTTAAATTTAGCCATGGGATGTGGCCATCACCAACTGGCCGGCATTTATTATCGGTCCCTAGTTGCCCTTGAGAAGGTGGTGGTGAGCTGAATTCTTGAACCACTGCATTCTACATGCTGTAGATTGAGCCACAATTCCCTGAGGGAGGAAAGTCCAGGATTTTGACCTAGTGACAGGGAAGGAATGGCGATGTTTCAAGTCAGGATGGTGAACGCTTGGAGGGGAATTTGTAGGTGGTGATGGTCCCATATATCTGCTGCCCTTCTCCTTCTAGTGGGTCCTTTTGCAGTGAGAGTAGCGAGGTGTAGAATTCTCTCCCAGTTTTAGGAGTTGAGGCAGAAATTGAGTCAACATTTGACTGCGGCCTTTCAGTTGTTTCAGCGGCGGGAGTCCGGGAGGAAGCGCGAGGGCAGCCTGGGAAGGTGAGCTTTTCGGTTATAGAAGTCTTACCTCGCGTGACTGCGGCCTTTCAGTTGTTTCAGCGGCGGGAGTCCGGGAGGAAGCGCAAGGGCAGCCTGGGAAGGTGAGCTTTTCGGTTATAAAAGTCTTACCTCGCGTGACTCCATTTTTGGAGTAAGTGAGGTAATATATTTGGACGGTTGCTTTACCCGAAACACTACCTAGGTAGTGTCTCCCACACATCCTCCTCCTCTAACCAAAAAAAAAAGGTTCTGAGCGCTGATTTGGTAAGGCTACTAGTTTTTTTTTTAATGTGTCTGTTTGGGAATTCAGAACAGTGGGAATGGATGTTAGGGCAGTTGTATGCTCCTCCTGTAGAATGTGAGAGGTAAGGGTCACCACTAGTGTCCCCACTGACTTCATCTGCGGGAAGTGCACCCAACTCCAGCTCCTCGGAAACCGTGTTAGGGAACTGGAGCTGGAGCTGGATGAACTTCGGATCATTCGGGAGGCTGAGGGGGTAATTGAGAGGAGTTACGGGGAGGTAGTCACACCTCAGGTACAGGAAAAAAGTAGATGGGTTACAGTCAGGGGACGGAAAGGGAACAGGCAGACAGTGCAGGGATCCCCTGTGGCCATTCCCCTCAAAAACAAGTATACCGTTTTGGATACTGTTGGGGGGGACGACTTACCAGGGGTAAGCCATGGGGTACAGGTCTCTGGCACAGACTCTGTCCCTGTTGCTCAGAAGGGAAGGGGGGAGAGGAGGAGAGCATTAGTCATTGGGGACTCCATAGTTAGGGGGACAGATAGGAGATTCTGTGGGAACGAGAGAGACTCGCGGTTGGTGTGTTGCCTCCCAGGTGCCAGGGTCCGTGATGTCTCGGATCGTGTTTTCGGGATCCTTAAGGGGGAGGGGGAGCAGCCCCAAGTCGTGGTCCACATAGGCACCAACGACATAGGTAGGAAAAGGGATGGGGATGTAAGGCAGAAATTCAAGGAGCTAGGGTGGAAGCTTAGAGCTAGAACAAACAGAGTTGTTATCTCTGGTTTGTTACCCGTGCCACGTGCTAGCGAGGCGAGGAATAGGGAGAGAGAGCAGTTGAACACGTGGCTACAGGGATGGTGCAGAAGGGAGGGATTCAGATACCTGGATAATTGGGGCTCATTCTGGGGTAGGTGGGACCTCTACAAACGGGATGGTCTACACCTGAACCAGAGGGGTACCAATATCCTGGGGGGGAAATTTGCTAATGCTCTTCGGGAGCGTTTAAACTAATTCAACAGGGGGATGGGAACCTGAATTGTAGCTCCAGTGTACAGGAGGTTGAGAGTAGTGAGGTCATAAATAAGGTTTCAAGGTCGCAGGAGTGTACCGGCAGGCAGGAAGGTGGTTTGAAGTGTGTCTACTTCAATGCCAGGAGCATCCGGAATAAGGTGGGTGAACTTGCAGCGTGGGTTGGTACTTGGGACTTCGACGTTGTGGCCATTTCGGAGACATGGATAGAGCAGGGACAGGAATGGTTGTTGCAGGTTCCGGGGTTTAGATGTTTCAGTAAGATCAGGGAAGGTGGTAAAAGAGGGGGAGGTGTGGCATTGTTAGTCAAGGACAGTATTACGGTGGCAGAAAGGACGTTTGATGACAACTCGTCTACTGAGGTAGTATGGGCTGAGGTTAGAACCAGGAAAGGAGAGGTCACCCTGTTGGGAGTTTTCTATAGGCCTCCGAAAAGTTCTAGAGATGTAGAGGAAAAAATTGCAAAGATGATTCTGGATAGGAGCGAAAGTAACAGGGTAGTTGTTATGGGGGACTTTAACTTTCCAAATATTGACTGGAAACGCTATAGTTCGAGTACTTCAGATGGGTTAGTTTTTGTCCAATGTGTGCAGGAGGGTTTCCTGACACAGTATGTAGATAGGCCAACAAGAGGCGAGGCCACATTGGATTTGGTACTGGGTAATGAACCAGGCCAGGTGTTAGATTTGGAGGTAGGAGAGCACTTTGGTGATAGTGACCACAATTCGGTTACGTTTACTTTAGCGATGGAAAGGGATCGGTATATAAAGCAGGGCAAGAGTTATAGCTGGGAGAAAGGCAACTATGAGGCGATGAGGCAAGATTTAGGATGCATAGGATGGAGAAGGAAACTGCAGGGGCTGGGCACAATTGAAATGTGGAGCTTGTTCAAGGAACAGCTACTGCGTGTCCTTGAGAAGTATGTACCTGTCAGGCAGGGAGGAAGTGGTCGAGCGAGGGAACCGTGGTTTACTAAAGAAGTTGAATCTCTTGTCAAGAGGAAGAAGGAGGCTTATGTAGAGATGAGGCGTGAAGGCTCAGTGAGGGCACTTGAGAGTTACAAGTTAGCCAGGAAGGACCTAAAGAGAGAGCTAAGAAGAGCCAGGAGGGGACATGAGAAGTCTTTAGCAGGTAGGATCAAGGAAAACCCTAAAGCTTTCTATAGGTATGTCAGGAATAAAAGAATGACTAGAGTAAGATTGGGGCCGGTCAAGGATAGTAGTGGGAAGTTGTGCGTGGAGTCTGAAGAGATAGGAGAGGTGCTAAATGAATATTTTTCGTCAGTATTCACGCAGGAAAAAGACAATGCAGTCGAGGAGAATACTGAGATACAGTCTATTAGACTAGACGGAATTGAGGTTCATAAGGAGGAGGTGTTAGCAATTCTGGAAGGTGTGAAAATAGATAAGTCCCCTGGGCCGGATGGGATTTATCCTAGGATTCTCTGGGAAGCTGGAGAGGAGATTGCAGAGCCTTTGGCTTTGATCTTTATGTCGTCATTGTCTACAGGAATAGTGCCAGAAGACTGGAGACTAGCAAATGTTGTCCCCTTGTTCAAGAAGGGGAGTAGAGACAACCCTGGTAATTATAGACCAGTGAGCCTTACTTCGGTTGTGGGTAAAGTGTTGGAAAGGATTATAAGAGATAGGATTTATAATCATCTAGAAAGGAATAATTTGATTAGGGATAGTCAACATGGTTTTGTGAAGGGTAGGTCGTGCCTCACAAACCTTGTTGAGTTCTTCGAGAAGGTGACCAAACAGGTGGATGAGGGTAAAGCGGTTGATGTGGTGTATTTGGATTTCAGTAAAGCGTTTGATAAGGTTCCCCATGGTAGGCTATTGCAGAAAATACGGAGGCATGGGATTGAGGGTGATTTAGCAGTTTGGATCAGAAATTGGCTAGCTGTAAGAAGACAGAGGGTGGTGGTTGATGGGAAATGATCATCCTGGAGTTCAGTTACTAGTGGTGTACCTCAAGGATCTGTTTTGGGGCCACTGCTGTTTGTCATTTTTATAAATGACCTGGATGAGGGCGTAGAAGGATGGGTTAGTAAATTTGCGGATGACACCAAAGTCGGTGGAGTTGTGGATAGTGCGGAAGGATGTTGCAGGTTACAGAGGGACATAGATAAGCTGCAGAGCTGGGCTGAGAGGTGGCAAATGGAGTTTAATGCGGAAAAGTGTGAGGTGATTCACTTTGGAAGGAGTAACAGGAATACAGAGTACTGGGCTAATGGTAAGATTCTTGGTAGTGTGGATGAGCAGAAAGATCTCGGTGTCCATGTGCATAGATCACTGAAAGTTGCCACCCAGGTTGATAGCGTTGTTAAGAAGGTGTACAGTATGTTAGGTTTTATTGGTAGAGGGATTGAGTTTCGGAGCCATGAGGTCATGTTGCAGCTGTACAAAACTCTGGTGCGGCCGCACTTGGAGTATTGCGTACAGTTCTGGTCACCGCATTATAGGAAGGATGTGGAAGCATTGGAAAGGGTGCAGAGGAGATTTACCAGGATGTTGCCTGGTATGGAGGGAAGGTCTTATGAGGAAAGGCTGAGGGTTTTGAGGCTGTTTTCGTTAGAGAGAAGAAGGTTAAGAGGTGACTTGATAGAGACATACAAGATGATCAGAGGATTAGATAGGGTGGACAGTGGGAGCCTTTTTCCTCGGATGGTGATGGCTAGCACGAGGGGACATAGCTTTAAATTGAGGGGTGATAGATATAGGACAGATGTCAGAGGTAGGTTCTTTACTCAGAGAGTAGTAAGGGCGTGGAATGCCCTGCCTGCAAAAATCGAAGACTCGCCGACTTTAAGGCCATTTAAATGGTCATTGGATAAACATATGGATGATAATGGAATAGTTTACGTTAGATGGGCTTCAGATTGGTTTCACAGGTTGGCGCAACATCGAGGGCCGAAGGGCCTGTACTGCGCTGTAATGTTCTATGTTCTATGTTCTATGTTCTATGAAAGGTCAGGGGTTTAGAAGGAGCAGTCTAAGATCTTTTGGTGAATTTCTACAGTGCATCCTGAACAGAGTATACACTGCTGTTCATGTAGTGTGTGACTACAGTTACGGTGCAGTAACAATGTAGTAATGACGTAGCAGTGTGTGAGCAAAGTTACAGCGTAGTAGCAATGTGGTGGAGTGTGAGTGCAGTTACTGTTCAGTAACGATGTAGCAGTGTGAGGATGCGGTTACAGTGCAGTAACGAATTAGCGGTGTGTGAGTGCAGTTACGATGCAGTAACAAGGTAGAGGTGTGTGAGTGCACTTACGGTACAGTAATGATGCAGTGATGTGTGAGTGCAGTTACGATGCAGTAACGATGTCGCGATGTGTGAGTGGAGTTACAATGCAGTAACGATGTAGCGGTGTGTGAGTGCAGTTATGGTGCAGTAAC